TCCTTCCGAGGAGTGGCTGGTGGGTTTGAACCGCCAGCCGTCTGGTTAGCAGGCAAGTGTCTTAGCCACTATGCTACCAGAGCTCCCGAGCTCCCCATCTAGCCTCTTGAATTCCTATGGTTGCTGCAAGCTGGGTGGCTTTTGGAGTGGATGCATGTGCTGCTATCTATAATATATCAGCCAGCCAGCACCTGGGTCCAAAACTCCTATGTCTATCTCAGTGTCTGAAACCCCACTGGTTGATGTATATACTTTTCACGGGATGGTGGTTCTTAAATTTTGGGAAATAGAGACAGTCTCAGTTATCTAGTGGTGCTATAACAGAAATACCACAAATGGATGGCTTTAACAAATAAACATTTATTTTCTCACAGTTTAGGAGGCTAGAAGTCTGAATTCAAGGCTCCAATTGTAGAGAAAGCCTTTCTCTCTCTTCAGCTCTGGGGGAAGGTGCTTGTCTCTTCAGCTTCTGTTTCCCAGTTCCTTGGAGAGCTCTGTGTGGCTTGGCATCAATCTTCCCCATCTCTGTTTCTCTCACTTGCTGGTTTAATCTCTTTTATATCTCAAAAAAGATTGACTCAGACACACTCTACACTAATCCTGCCTCATTCACATAACAAAGACAACCCATTACCAAATGAGATTGTAATCATAAGCATGGAGGCTAGGATTTATAACTCATATTTTTTGGGGGACACAATTCAATACATCATACTGATCCCTTGGCAAAGCTGATAAAAGCTATGGACTTTTTTTTCCCAGAAAAAAAGCACAATGGCATAAAGTTTTTGCATGAGTCCTAAGAGCTGTTCAATCTTTAAGAGACTCTTCTGAACATGTGAGTTTTGCAGGAGGTCCCTAAGGAATTCTGGTAGCATAGTGGGTAAGGCATTTGATCGGGTTCAAATGCACCAGCTGCTCTGTGGGAAGAAGATGAGGCAATCTATTTTCATAAAGATTTACAGCCTTGGAAACCCAATAAGGGTCACTATGAATTGGAGCCTTCAAAAAATATAATGAAAAGGGGAATGAGGACTGTTGGAAAACAAAAGAAACTTAAGAGACCTAACAGGGGAATACAATGACTGGACCTAGTTTGGAACTTGAATTAAACAATGAAACCACAAAAGGCAACTTGGGAAGCTTCAACATATTTTTCCACATATAATGCACATAGCATAGATAGGAAACATGCAAGGGTGCACAGTTTGCAAAAACTGTATGACACACATGTTATTTGTGTAAAAATATGGTAGCTACAGTGGAGGATTCTGTGAATTCTTTTAGGTGTGCTAATTGCATGACAATTATGCTAAAAGGAAGTCTTTATCAAGTCAGATATTTACAGATACAGTGACAGAATTTCTAAGATCTGTTTATAAAGACTTCAGTCAAAGATTGCTTCAATTATTGAAGCTCAATGTAAGGCACTAGAATCACCTGAGGAACTTTTATAAATACTAACACTATACTTTAGTTTATTGCTCTTGTGTTCAGTTTGGTCATCAAAAATTTTTTAGACCCCGCAAGTGATTCCAATGTGTAGCAAAAGTTAGAGAAGCACTGGTGTAGGGCAGATGGGGGCCTATTACTATTATTTATACTTTTTTTTTAATTTTATTTTGATTTGGGTGAAGATTTACAGAGTAAATTCACTTTTCATACAGCAGTTCACATATACTTTGTCTCATATCATTGACCAAAATTTACAATGCAACAGCTCCCCTTCCACTTCCTCCCCATAGTTACCTCTTCCCAGTGTCCATCCCTCCATACTCTTC